GATTTTGAGTGCGCGCGGCGAATTGCGCGGCGAAATTCGGACGACTACAGCGTTTGTCATTGGGGCGCGAGCTTGAAGTAGAGCGGGCTAACTACGAACAGCTGATCGTGGAGGTGCGAAGCCGTGAAGGCTTCCTGTTTTTCTTCTTTCTCTTCTTTTGCTTTTCTTTTTTCTTCCTTGTAATCAAGTATATAGGCGGAACGTTTGGTTTGTTACTTTTTTTCGAGCTCAGGTCTCGAATAGGCGTGTCATGGTGAAAATTGAATGGGCCGAAGAAATCCATTTCAGATGCTACGCTTATTGTAACTGTATTTGTTATAAGTAATCGGGAAGTTCCTGGTATTTCCATTCGGCCTATTCCTTCAGCTTACGGCAGGTTTGCTTTCAAATTTTCAAATGATCAAACAACATTATGATTAGTGAACAGCTGCTCTCTTTCCTTTGAGGTAATTTAATAACTTTTTAAGCGTGTTCTGCGCTTCATCTCGTCGCATTTACTGCAGGTCGTTACTCCACGTGTTTTTTTTTTGCTGTTTTACTTTCTTTCTACTATGTTGCCGTTTTAGGTTTTTCACATGCTCGAGGCGTTCGGTTCGAATTGTTTTGTTCTGCAGTTGAGGTTCGTTTATTTTCAGCTCAACCTTTTTTATGTTTTTCGCCGACTTTAATCTTGATATGGTTCTCTTTGATTTGTGTTTTGTTTTGCTTGTTGTTGTTCCATACTTTGTTGTTCTATTGCTGTTCTAGGTTTTTTTGCATGTCAGCCCGTTTGGATTGTTCTTTCTAGTGTTCTTTCGGTTAATTGCTCCAGTGATTGAGGTGAGTTCTTTTCTCGTGTGTTTTGTCATATATCTAAGACTATCGTGCTCCTACTTCGGATTGATTTACTTTGTAATACCTTTTGCTCATTATTGCTTTTTATTATTTTATTCTTGTAGGTTCTCAGTTCCTGCGAATGTCTCCGATTTCATAGTGTAGCATTCCTTGTACCGCGATGCTCTTGCGCTGACTGCCGTGCGTTCGTTTTCAACCTTAACTTTCCCTTTATTTTATGCTGTTTAAGTTATTGGATTGGATACTTTTGCATAATTTCATTTCCTTTGTACATTTTGGTTCTTTTTGTTGATTCTGTGATTTGATTTTGTTTGGTTCAAGTCGAAGTTTCAGGAGAGATCGTTACGAAGGATATTGGCTGGAAATTGCTCTGCGAATGTCGAACCAGACCCAAAATGCGTCTTTCTTCGTTCGCTTTTTACCATCTCATGTTGCTGTATGTTCTGTTCTTCGACTGTCATTCATTTCGAAGCTTTTGCCTCGCATTACCATGACCTCGCAGAAATATCTGTTTTCTCTGCCGTTGCCCGATGCAAATCCCATTGCTTATATTATTATTTGGGCTATTAATATTGGTTGGAATTTTCCTCCTAATAAAATTCAATATTGTTTATTTCCCTAGAATTTTCTCGGTAACTTTTGAGTTGATTAGGTTATGGTTTCGATTCTGCTGAAATTGTCCCATTGAGGCGAATCTCACTCTTGCTCACAGATAATCATATACTTCCTCCTTCATTGAGAAATTCTCATTTGTAGCTAATAATGTTGTTGATGTATTATTTGTCTATGACTGTTGCAATAAAGCTCAGGCATAATATATCTAAGAACACGATGAGGTTACACTCAAGCTATACCAGTGTAGTCCGATGAAAAAGATGGGGCATGAGGCAAGGTAGTTCGATAATGTAACATTCCTCTATTAACAGCATTCGAAGAATGTCAGCGTTCGTACTTAAAGAACTCAACTGCGAGGAGGGAGCCAGCGCTTCGGGTAAGCCCCAGTGGACAAAGTTTGTTGAAAAAGTTTCATTAAACTTATACCCTTGATATAGTTCCGGCCGTGAATGTTGTGCCCCCGTCGGTTTCTGCTCCTGCTGCGTCGATGGAAGGTAATTCAGGTTTCGAGTACGGTCCCTTCATTAGGTTTCAAAGAGTTCCTATGCCGTTACTATTGCCTTTAGATCGAAGTGGAGCACCTGGGCAGCGCTCCTACCGCCGAGTGCAACTTGAAGGAGAGCTGTTCCAAGGTGTTGTTGAGACCAGCAAGCAAGGCGTCCATCCCGTAATACGGTACCCAATTCCTGGTGGGTAGAGGAAGCACCACATTATGAAGTTTGTTGATTTTAGCGCAGATTGTATAAGTATTTTCTGCTAGGTGGATCCCTGTGCTATATTTTTGAGTTCCTTCGTCGGACAACGCGGGGACATTTGGTGTACTGTTGCGGCGGATGCAAAAAGAGCGGCAAGACGACCAGTGTGGCGGTAGTGAAGGCTAGCATAACTGGAAATACTTTCCTATTGACATGATAGTTCAGGTGGTGAATGGGTCTAACCTCGTTGGTGACCCAGTCCTTCTGCCGCACGTGTGCCTCCCAAAAAAGAATGCGCAGGAAAGAGTGGAGCGGGTGGTTTATAAGGTAGGAGAAATTGGACTCCTTATCCCAATAGTTTTGTGAGTTACTCATTAACCATACTTAGTCCTGCCATGAAATAGCGGAGGACGCGCGGCTGGGGCGAGTAAAACCGAGGGAGCTGTGGCAGAATATCGCGGATAAGGTGCACTACAATGAGCCGGCCGGTAAGCTTCCACGATTCTATCCATCCATCCAGAACACATATTGAGACATCGCTCCAGGCGAAGCAGAGAGAGATCAGATGCTGCTCCACTTTTACAAAGACGGGTATGCGTCGCGGCGATACTCCATTGCAAGGTGAATTTATGGCGGCGTATGATGCTAGGTTGGTGCCTTCATAATGAGAGGCTGTTTAGAGCGGTCAGGAAACATCACGATGCCCGCGTCACAATGGAAAACGTCCCGCGGGAATACGCGTTCCTGCCCGACGGGTCGGCGTTCCTTCAGCATAGAAGCGCCGACATGCATATTTATTATTCGGCCGAAGTTCTGGAGGTGCGCAGTCGGAAAGCGAAATTTCTTTCCAATATCGTCATTTAGATCCTTCTTTTCTTATTTTTAGAAGGCCTGCCAGCTGAACCTGTCGGCGCTGGTGGCGGATGGCGTTCATGACCTGCAGCCAGATGCCACCAACAAGACAGGTCAGCTGTACGTCATCCATGGCGTGATGGCAGACTCTGTGGATGTACCCCTGCTTTTTGCAATCACGAAAAGGTGACGAATGTTTCCTTATTCATTCCAGTGATTCTCAGGTCTTGATTTTAGGAAGAGTCAGCGCGTTTACGACGTTATCTACGGACAACTGAGGGACGCCTTGGCTGCAGCTGCAGGACCGCGACGCCTCCGGATTCTACTGGATTATGAAAAAGCCGCGATCAGCGCGGCCAGGAGGTGTTTCCCAAGTGCATCAGTAGAGGGGTGCGCTTTTCACCTAGCGCAGGCTTGGAATAGAAAGCGAGATGCACTTGGGTTGCGCCCACAGGTAAGAGGGCCTCAACGGTGTATACGTATCCAAAAATGGTGGTCTACAATTAAAGGGATAGTTTTTCTTCCACCAGAGTTGCACCGTCGAGTCCCGGCACTTTTTCGTCCACCTGTCCCGAGGGACCATGGTGCGCACGATAAGTGCTGCTTGTTCCTGGAGTATCTCCGTAGTAACTGGTACGATGGTCCTTTCAGGGACATGTGGTACAAATGGGACGTCAGGGAGCTGCGCACAACAAACATAGCAGAGTCATTCAACAGGTGATGGCTGATGAGTTGTAGCCTCCATCTTTTCGGTTCAGTGTTATTGATAAAATTCTAGGCTCTTGGGAGTTCGACTCGGGGTCAAGTACCCTCGGATGAGTGATCTCCTGTTCGCTCTGCGAGGGTGCGTGACTACCGCAAAGGGAGCTCTGCTAAACCTGGAGACCGTAGGTGTCCACTATTTACTCCGTTCCTGTAGATGACAGTTAATACCATGATTTCAGCGGAGACAGGCGAAGCGGCTGCACAAAAAGGACATCCTTCGGCGGCGTCGCATCGAAAGGGAGATGGCTCGATTCAAGAGTATTCTTGATCGCACCAGAAATTTCCCTAGAACATCCACGATTACGACGTACTGCCGGAGGATGTCCAGATTTGTCACGGAGAAAGTAGTCTAGCAGGTAGTGTCTTCGATTGTACATGGCTACTAATATATTTCCTCTGGACACTTGTGGGCGTTGCTATGCCAATCATACTGCGTACGTTTTCACCCAGGAACACCGGAGGCGGCTTTGCGAAGTGATGTATACCGAAGAA